CGTGGGACAGTCAGGATTCCTGTCCTAGGGATGTCTTAATATAATTTACTTGGAACTGTATCAATATATGATAAAGTGCACTTCAAAAGAAGGAAGATTTCTTTTATCAGTTGTATGTTATGTGTGGTGTTGGTTGACCTAGCCCGTAGCTAGATCGTTGAGGGTTGGAGCTGGGCCGACACACGGTGTCCTACCGGCCCACGCGGCGCCAGGAAGCCTAAATAGTTCCCAACGAATGAGAAGGCTTTTCTTTCACCGTGTAGAATTGTAATATAATTCAAAAAGAGAGACACCATACAAAAAATCAATGAATATGATTAACTTGACGACCGTGTCGTCAAAAGCTATCATCATTTTCTCGCTTCTGACGATGATAAATGTTACTTAAATTGCACAATTTGGTTGAATTCGTTCGGTTTAAATGGCCGTCTTATCTATTGTTAAGATGGACGTCTGTTATCGTCCAACCGCTCATCCGTACCAACAGGTTCCTTTGATAAAAACCCAATTATTCGCGAGCGAATCAGGATCAGGTATCTGCGGGTATTCATTTTACGCCATTTGTAAGATCAGCCTGCTGAAAATGAGGAGTTTGGAAAATTCTTCATCGAAGTTTTATTGAAATAAGTATAGATGTTGACAACATCATTGTAATTTAAAAAAGTTAAGTCTTAAAGATTTCTTTAACGTTTTTAGAGCTTCTTTGCTTTTGTTTTCGATCCGAGATGTCTCTGTCCTAAATTCATGTGTATTTTTTCTCATAATCAATCCGTTTATTTGCTTTCAAAATATTCGTGAAACTTTTTTAAATGGACAACATATTGTCACTAGCTAATGTCCCCGACTGACTTTTTTGGCACTTTTTCAAGTTTATATACTCACGAAGCCATTTTTACTTGCGAAATTGCCGTTAACGAATACACCAATAACGAGCAAAATGTGTATACATTTATCAATCAGTTATAACTTGACTGTTTCATTCCTTCAGAAAATGTAAAAGAAGTTATCAATCTCGTGTCTGGTTTTGAGCATTATTAATGGAAAAAAACGACGCTGAAATGTCACTATAGAGTTACGGAAAGGAATGATAAGGAAAAATTGAGCATGCGCAGTTCAATCTCATCCCAAGGCTGTTTGATGACACACGTCTACGAAACAAAAAGCTACAAAAGTAAACATCAAATAGTTACAGAAAAAGAACCACTCAAATACTCCTTCCCGAAGCAAAAAAAAAAACACCTGTTGTATAAGAGATTGAAAATGCCTCCCCTTCCCTCTAACCAAAGAAATCAAAGATGGAAATCCTTGAGACAAATAAAACCCATCGACTTTCGAGGTGAAACAGCATAGCCCAGGGGAAGACAAAAAAAGGACGGAAAAGATCTTCCCGCCTAAAATAATCAGATACTTGTTTGCTCAACCCCTGTGAGGCTTTCAGTGGGCTGAGAGGGCCACTTTATACCTCGCAGGTTGACATAAGAGATTAATTTGGCCACTTTCAATTTATCCTTGCTCACTTTATGGACTTTTTGCTGACAGGTATACTATAGATCTCGCCAAACGAAACTTAGCAAATAATGGTGTCAAGGAGTCGAATAGACTAGTAAAATTCAATTTGTGCATTTCAAAAACGTACAAAACATAGTAAGTGAAAATGTACATCTTCTACTGTATGAAGCATAGGCCTAATACTTCATTAAAGCAAGAAGGTGCCATGTTATATTTCATGACTATAACAGTCGAAAGTTTCAGGTTTGGATACAATTGGTATGTTTTCTCTCCCAAACACACATCCGCTTAATACTTTCCCAAACTACACAAAAACACACTCAATAATCATTGTATCTTGACATGTTTTCTCGAATGATTATAGTTGTAGAGAGATAGGCCTACATTATATACGCGAAAGTTAGGTCTCAACTTTTTGGAGCTCGTCCCTGTACACGCGCTCACACTCCCAACGGGGTTCCAAAGTGCGCCCTCTGTATTCAGTAAAGTTTTCGTTGTTGAAACTTGAAGATTAATGCAAATAACAATACACACAACCAGCATGAATAAACATAGTAAGTGATTGTCTTCTATCACGTTGAATGTTGGGATGTCTCGTATGCAATAATAATAAGAAGAATATGGTATTTGTAAAAGCGCTTTATACCAAAGGTCTCAATTATCAAAGCGCCCTCACAATTATTACCCCTGTTCATCAGGCCATGAGACCAGTTTTTGGAGCAGCTCAAGATCAGTGCATTCTAGACTCTACCTTCACGGGTGGAGAGAGGCAATTGTAGTAAAGTGTCTTGCCCCCGAACACAAGCCCCATGTTCCCCATCAGGGTTCGAGGCCACGTGCCGCGGCGCATGAGCCGAACACCGTAACCATTGGACCACAGCGCTCCACATTTTATGTGCATTTTTAAAATAGTTCAGTTGCCAGGACAATTTCATTGTTGTACGGTGAGCGCAAGAGGCAAAACTCACCCTATAGTCAGTGATTGATTTAACTGACATGACTTCAGTGATTAATCAATGTCACGCTCAGCTCACCATACACAGACCATTCATTAGTTTAGCGTCTTATTGCAATAAATTAAAATGAACAATTTACAGTTGATTGATGTTAGGCAATTAGTTTTGCAGTGATGTCGAAAAGGTCAATTTCTCAATAAGACCACTGAAGCAGTAAATATTTAACCCTCCAGTTTCAATATTTTGCACTTTTCTAATATGTAAAGTATGTGAATAAAACTTATTCTTTTTTTATACAGAGCTTTGCTTTGTAAAATATTCAATGCAGCATTTGAAATATTCTGTTCTAAATTTCCCTCAATGTTGGCATTTAGCTAAATTGATGTCCGCCTGTACCTCTTAATGCATAACTGAAAATATGTTTTTTAAAGGATGGCTCAGTATAATTTTTTTATTTTTGTTACTGTCTTTCCTACGTGACCTTTGACCTTTGAATCCAAAAGCTTCCAAGTTGGCTTACTAAATGGCTGTTTATGTTAATTCATGTGTTAAAGATCATTCCCCGTGCTATTGTCGAGTTTCATCACGCAAATAAATTTATTTTCTTAATTGCTTCTTTTCTAGCAATAATCAGTCACTTTTGAATGAGATATCGACCGCAAAAAAAATCAGCCCATGTTTAGTTGTTGAATTATTACTTTACAATTTCGAATTAGGCCTATTGGCTGCCAATTACGTTCACGCGGGGTAGGCTGGTTCCCGTCCTAATATCAGTATCGATGATGTACGGATCGGGAGCCAGTCTGCTCGCGAAGCGGATTTCTTTGTGTCCAAAGCAAAAACCTTTTTACGGAGGTTTGTATAGTCGCCCCCTAAAAAGTGTGAAGGAAGTTTTTGGTTGGAATCAGACATACAAGTTGGAAATTCATTAACAGAGAAAAAAAAAATCGAATTTGTCGAAGAGCACTGGAACGCAGCATTGATAATGTACCGTCACATAGGCCTACTCTCCAAACCTACGCGTTAAAATCACCGTGATCTGATACACCGTGCCCTCTGGAGACATGCACACAATAGGGAACAAAAGATTTTATACGTCTCCACATGGCAATTTCTATAGATGAATACGTCTCCACAAGATTTTCACGAAAAAGATGTATGGATTTTACTCAAAAACTAGGAATTTCCAAGGTATGTTGATCGGTCGCAAATGGTAGAGTTTTAGAAAAGGGATATTAAGTCCGAATTTCAGCAAAGGAAATTAATTCTGGTTAAAATAAGAGCATTTTGAAACTTTACTTTCAAACTCGAAAGTACACGAGAACAAAGAAATGTCTCCACAAGGATACAAATTTCAGTATATGTGACCTGTCATTTAAGCCAGATAATACCAAACACACAAGCAAAGCCGTTGTTCCGTCAACATGTTTAAAGACCATGTAAAAGAATCGATTCTAGGGAAAAGAAAACCACCCCTCCCTGTATTCCATAACCGCGCCCAGTGCCTCCCTTCTTTATCCCACCTCTGCATTAGGTATCGAATTTTATTCGATTCATCGACTAGTCGATATTTCTCCCCACGCTTGATTGAATTCGGCACTCCGGGTGGTATCGATTATTCGATCGGTCGGGACAGGGCCTTTTATACGCCACAGTGTGTTGTCTTTTCAATTAGTATTGATTATGTCGATTCGTACTTTAATCACAATCTGTACACCACATAGTTGGTGCCGGCCTGGCGGGCGTTTCGTTCGCTTTGATGAACATAATCACTCGAATCTTTACGTTTAGGTTAATGTATGAGCAATTTTGTCTGCAGGGTAAAAATAAAATGTCAATGTAACTTTGCAGCATCCCACCCCACCCTCAACAATAAAAATGTCATTTTCAGCATGTTTTAATTGATGCAAATGACATACATTCTTTAATGCCAGAGAGTCGGAAGTTTACACATAAAGATCAAAATTAATGATGTTATTTCGCAGTCACAATGACATTATAATTTAATAGAAAATCACACTCATGCACAATATAATTACGGAACGCAAAAATCATTGAAATCCACAATGCGAAATGCGGAGTGAAAAAATAAGCAATCCATCCCTACAAAAATCGTCACAGTGAAGGAATAGGTTATACAACCCAGAACATGTAACAAAGTAATCGTTTTTAGCTGCGGGATAACAACTCAACAAATCATCATGTCTCTCCGCTAGTTAGTTAGTTAATTAGATAACAACGTTGGCATTGTCCATTGCTCTTACATTATTTTGACCGATTTCAACCAAACTTTGTCAAAAGTATCAGTAGCCCAACCCCAACATGTCACGTGACCAAGCTGGGGTCAAAGTTCATCATTGGGTCCCTGGGATCAACATCCTGATTATTTTTTACTCAAAACACTACTTCCAGAAATTACATGGCACAATCACGTGACTCGTGCATGAACACGAATTCGTTGGCCCGCAGCTTTCGAGATATAATCGATCGAGCTTGTTCTTATCAAATTCCGGTTTTCCTTTTTTGCATATGCAGGTTTCAACAACCAACGGTCAGGGGTGTGGTTGTCTGTGTCTCTCAACTCCAATAATCAAAGGTCGACGGCACCACTTTGATGTTTGGTACCATCTCATCTGACATGAGCGCGCAAATCCAAGTAGGACACGGTGAACAATACATCCATCGGTATTAATTTGTAAATTCTGACAAAAGACTATAAATCAGGAACATACCAGCGAAAGAGTTTTCCTAAATAGGAGAAACTTTGAGGTTTACAATAATTAGATCCAGGACATATTTTGAGATATCCAATGCTCTTTGATAGGATGAAGGGGAGAGTCAACAAAGACAGGTATTTCCAAACCGCAGGATTGTTCAATATTCTGAATCATTTTCTTCAGAATATTGATGCTAAGGTAAATTCTGATTCCTAGGGCCGAATACTTTCCAGAGATTGCTAACCATTCCTTCTAACAGGGTGAGTCAAAAACAAAGTGACTCTGATTAAAGACTTTCTTCTTAAAAAGGAATCAAATTTGATACACCAATCAAACATGTCTTTAAAGAGCATGTTCTTCCACTCATCTGAAAACAAAAAAAGGATTGCTGAAATTGATCCATGCTTTCAGAAGTTAAGCATGTTTTACTAAAAAGAACCCATTCTTATAGCTGTCTATGGAATGCCATTGGAAGCTATCGAGCTTTACACACAGGCATTCAAATACAAATGAGATTTTAATCATTGAAATCAAGACTGAAATCTTAATTATAATGTCAGATTTGGTGTATTGAATATGAGGAACAATATTGATGGCGATTTTTTTGTATGTTTTCCTTTGCAAGTTTCTCGGTCATTAATGGAGGTGGGAAAACATCCATGTTTCATTGTACTCAATGGGTATTCATCAGTTCGTAGAACGGTAAATGATCAGTGGTGGACAGCCGATTTTTGTGATCTGCTAACTGTTATAGACATAACTTAGAAATAAAGTATGCGAATTACGTGAAATTTTCACAGTTCAAAGTCAATGATATACGTTATCCCTATGTTTTTTTAAAAATAAAATGGAGTGGGCCAAATATTTTAAACAGATTTTCTAAATTCGGCCACTTTCTTTTTGACTCCCCTGTTATATTCTAAATTTGCCTCAAAACACTGGGACAGCGATTGGAATTGATTCGCAATGGTTTAAACTTCCTCACAGTCCTTTGGGCAATTCCGTAAAACCGAAACGTCCATCCGACCACCTATGTACATGTACATGTGCAAGGCCGTTAAGGTGATGGTACCTTAGTTTGGTCTGTCAATTCTGTTTTCTACTCATTAGATGTCACATGATGTATCACATTCAACTCTTCCAACAGCAGGTCATTAAAGTGTCTGACATTGTACGTCCGAATTTACGGAATTCCCCTTTCCAGAAAAATTCACTTCAAAATTCCTACGCGACATCAGGTATTAGATGATTCACGCCTGTCGCAACCATATCTTGCAATGTCACGACCATCTCTTGGTGCGATTTGATCAACTTGTCACCACACGGTTTTATTCCAAATACGATGGGCCATTTTTTTTCTCCACCGGTCGTCCATTTCCGCTCTTGCTGCGTGTCCTGCATACAGGAGACCCAACAAATTTGCCTGAATAAAGAGGCCACCATGCAGCTCAAAAGCGCCGAGGATTAATCTGTTTGGCCTGCCGTTCCATCATGCTTTCATCCAGCAAAGTGCTATAGCATTTTAGACGGGTTCTTTATATCATTGTTTTTCGTAGACCACAGAAATGATACATCAGAGATAATGTAACAACACATGCACAGACCCGCGATATTGCCGCCAAAATATAAACACAATAGACCGACATGTGTCTTGTATAATTTTCTGTGTGTGCGTGTATGTGTGTTCGTTTGGGCGCCAAATTGTAAATTAGCGTATTTTTGGCGGTGCCCGCTTGCGAGGAAATTCAGACGACGGGGCGATATGTCCATTTGTGGCGGGGTGGTGATGGATGTTAGCCTAGTCCAATTGCGACATTTAGTGGGTTTTGAGAATGGTGAGAGTTTTGATAAGAAAATGGTAAATACACGGGCTCCTTCTGCTCGTATTTGCAATTGGAAAACATTGACAACTTACTATCATAATCAAAAGAACCCGTATTTGGTTGGAGTGTTTTCGCTACTGTTTATTTTGTTCAGTAGTTCCTGGACGAAAAAAATCCAGGTTTATTTGTGTGTTGTTGTTTTTTATTTATAACCGTGAGGAAATTTGAAGCTGTAACATATTTAGACCTAAACCATAGAGTTTTCAATGTTGGTATACCATTTGTATTGGTCAAACCCAGATGCAATTTGGACTATTTGAGAATAAAGAGGAAGAAAAGTTAATGGTATCATCGCGATAATTTTACAATAAAACTTAACAGAAATACCATTTGATCATTTTCTCTTTCGTCATATTTATTCACAGTGTTTGTACCTTTCTCCCTCTAAGTAAAGTTGTCATACGAAATTGTTTCAAAGCGCAGACAAAGACACCAGAAAACGGGAAAGAAAATTGCATGCGTTTGAAAATAACTGACGGAAAACTGACAAATCGGTTTTTCTTTGTGGTGCATTTCGGAGACAAGAATATGACCTGCAAAACCCGTTCTCTAACGGTGGCTTTGACTCGGCATAATAAAGCAATTAGAGCCTTTTGTCCACACTCACAAATCTGAAGGTTTATGGGCAATTATTAGGGACAGTTGGTGTTCTTTCAACCCTCGGCAAGGTGAAATGTAACATTAGTTTCTTAATGGAGTGGATAACAGAAAGATTTATGGGGTTTCAGAAGACAAAAGAGGTTGGTTTAAAGTCCTTACCACGTCATTGGTAATCATCCACAGTTGCTCTAGACCCTTCTACGAACCACAAAAGACTTCAAACATTCAAACAGACGACATTTTGCCTTGGTTCGCGTCAAAAAAGTGACTCATATATTCTGGTCTTGAAGACAGCAAATATTAGAAATCCGCACAGGGTCAACTTTTGTTACAACAAAGCAGCAGAATAGAGCCCCAAAAGCCACTGACAAAGATGGTTAGATTCCCAATGACGGGAAGAAACACGCCCTTCCAATTGCATTAAGGTTTGGTTCCATTCAATCGGTTGAAAACAAAACTAAGATCGGTTATTAAAAGGAAAAAAGAATTCCTCTCGGCTTTCCCGCCCATTTCACTTCCAATGAAGGAAGCTGCACAAGTGGAAGAATATGATAAATCCCCCTCCCATTACCCCTAAGCCCCCTTCGATTCATTTCGCTTGTTGACCAAACCAAAGTCCGGCCCCAGAGCTATTAACTTTTTCACGCTGCATTACGCGGCATTGGCCCCTGAAAGCAACGGTGGTTTTTTGCCGAGATAAAGCGCGTAAAGTCGAGACCTTGCTCAATATTTTGGCCTCTGTTTGTTTTCCTTTGGAGGAGGAAAATTTGGTTCATATTTTTTTTTGGCCCGAGTCATGCTGAGAAGTTGGAAGGTTGGTGAACGGTGCGGGCTGTTATAGTCACGTGTGAGTGAACTTGCCTTATCCCATGTCTTCTTTAATAAATTTCTGTTTTGTTCAATTGTTCGAACTCGATTTTATGGATGCCGCTTTTGTGTTTATTTCCGTCACTGTCGTTGTTTGGTCTCCTGTTGTCATTTATTGTCCCTGTGAGTGTCGCCTCATTAGTTTCGTTGTTTCAATTTTGGTTTGTCAAATTATCGTCATTGTCAGAGTGTCTAGAAGATGTTCACGTCCATGTCAGCAATGAACTCTTCTTAAACTATTATAACAGAAATAAGAACGGTGTTCATTTGAAAGTAAATGAAAAGGGCAAACTGAAATCGATTAAGTGCATATGGCCTGTTGATGAACCTCCGTAGAATATCTGTGAGATCAAACTTCATATGGACAAGGGGCAAAAAGTCAACCTAAAATATGTTTAACATATATTTATACCAAAGATTTTTGTTAATTCCCCCCCCCCATACCAGTAGTACCGCTGAAAACACTAAAACTATATAACGAACGTTTGTTAAAATAATAGATTTTTTATTGAATTGATTAATAATTGCTGTACCAAAATAAAATTTGATGGAATTTAGATTTCGATTTTGGCCTTTTTATCTGGTGAAATAACATTGTGTGGTTCCCATTAAAGGTTTCTGAAAACCCAAAGTTTAGCAGGGTCAAGTTAAAGCAAGATTAGACTTTACTTACAACGAACGAAGAGCCTGAATGAATCGTCCAATCAACACCAGCGAGATATCTCAGACCTTGCGATCAGCCAATCAACGATCTCGATACATCCCGATAATTGGGTCCACGCTCCGACCACTAATGCTTACAAGGCAAATGACCGCGAAAAGCCAATAACTGTCACCGGTCATCTTGGTGTATCGCTCCCCGTGTATACCGCCGCACACACGGTTGTCATTTCATGCCACTTTGTCAGCACTCGCCGCTCCACCCGTCGTGTCTTTCCTCCGTTCATTTCCGAGGCTTCCGGAATGGGCAGGTGGAGCGTTTGGCGGGGGGAAAAAAGCCGGGGATTTTCGACTCAAAAGTTTGGATGTCCGCGAGCCCAGATCTCGGTGCCAACCTGGTCATTTAGGAAAAGGGCACAAGAGGTGAATGAAACATTGTAACATGCTCTCTCATTTTCTCACTGGATTCATCAAGATTACCTTTTGTGGACGGTCAGCGCCGAATTAAGAAACGAAAGTCAATAATCTATTTCATCACGACATTTTTACGGACACGGCCTATTATGTTTCTGATTGAATTGTTCACAGTATGGGACATTGTAGCTATTTAATATAAAATGTGGATTTGGGGGGTTAAAAACAAAGGTTTCTATGACAGCTTTAAAAACATCTTGATATCAACGCCAAATTGTCGCGAGTCGTCAGATGTTTATTTAACCGGCAAAACGTCTCTATTATCAAGGCACAAGTGCAGAGCGTGTTTAAAATGAAATGGAGACTGTTCTTCACGGCAGGAGAGCGATTTAGCGACCGCTTGCCAAGGATTAAGGAGATTACCATAAGTTCATCTCGAAGTGCGTCTAAATGAGACAAGAGTAGACCAGTTAAAACCAGTCATCCATCCTGTAAATTGAATCTGTGGCATTGCTGATCCCTCCA